CGCCTTGGCTGTTCGAAAAGAACGCCCAATAACATTGGCTGAACCTAACAGCCTTTAGAAAAAAAAGGTATTTAGGAAAATCTTCCAGGCCAGAAATTAGGACGTTTCGTCCTTTTGTCGGATAAATAGGAAATTTATATACATTTTTCTCATGTTTTAGATGAACCAAGAAGAAAAATTGAGAAAGATCGAAGAATATGATCCAAATCCAGCACGCCATCATTTCTATCCAAAATACACGCCAAGTGTAATTAAAAACCAAGGTCCGAAACGGCTTACCATAGAGGAGTATAGAAAGAGGCAAAAACCAATAAGACTACCAAGTCCAAAACCTCCAGCTAAGAAGAAAAGAAAACGGGCAGGGAAGGAATTCCAAAGGAGAAAAAAGTTCGCACTTCTGTATCAGCAATTACATCTTCAAACAAATAAAGAAGACAGGTTATTAATTCAAGAAAAAATAAAAAAAACTTAAAAATAATAAAGACAAATAAAAAATATTTCTAAAAATTATAATATTTATTTTTGAAATGAGACTAATAACAGCAATTCAAACAGACTTACTAACAGCTCAATATAAGCTAATAGAAAAGTTAGAAAAGTTCATACAACAAGCTAAAGAAATAAAAACTAGGAATCGTAAAACTGAATCTTTAGAAGTATTAGAAGAAGATTGGAAAAATTTTTCTGAGAACGATTAGAAATTAAATAAGTTGGGAATAGAAGATATACCATATTTTAATGACGCATTATATAACGAAACGAGAGAAAAATATATTGGAGTAAAAAATTTATTAAATATGGAAAGTGAAGAACACAAATCAGAAGATGTAGAAGAAATATTAGTAACAGAGACCAAAAAGAAAGACAAATCAGAAGATGCAGAAGAAATATTAGTAACAAACAAATCAGAAATTATAATAAAAAAAAACTGGCGAAAATTGGGAGATGCCGGTACATTTAATCAAAAAATTAGAAGGAACGGTTCATCGTATGTTACATAATACTCCTGATACTTATGCACGAAATTTATTAATACAAATAATAGAAAAATACTACGAAGATCTACAACTTATATTAGAAAAATTAAATGACGAGCAAACTATTCATTTACAAAAAATATATAAACTAAAAACACTTAAAAGCGAAATTGAAATAATATTAAATATTAAAGCTACTGATGAATCCAATAAGCAAATAATTCAACCCACTGTGCAAAGACAAATTGAAACACCTCCTACAAGATTACCTGATTTCTACGGTAAATTTGAAGAATGGCAAAATTTTGTAGATCTATTCACAGATTAAGTACACTATAATCATATGTTATCATCTTCAATGAAATTAGACTACTTAAGATCCCATGTAAAAGGAGAAGCACGTATGGCAATAAGCCACTTATTAAATGGGTCATCAGCAAATTACGATACTGCTTGGTATACACTGAAAACAAGATATGAGAACAAACGGTTGAATTTCTCACAACAGTTCGATAAGTTACTTGATATGAAAACAATTAACTCATCATCAGTTACAAGCTTAAAAACTTCACATGATACAGCTAAACAATGCATTCAGATGATTGAATTTAACTCAGATAATGATATTAAATCTAATTGTGACAAATTATTTGCGCACATTATTTTGAGAAAATTAGATAAAGAAGGTGTACAATTATACGAACAGCACGTCAAAAAACCAAGGCAGATACAGATGTTAAAAGATGTATTTGAATTTTTAGAACAACAATTCCAAACTCTTGAAGCTCAAAATAGGTTGAAAGCCACAAGAATAGATTCAATTATTCCAACATACGTTTCAAAAACTCAAAACACTTCCATTCGATGCCAATGTTGTAATCAAATAGGACATCGAATGTATAATTGCAGCAAATTCTTGAACATGTCAGTTAGTCAGCGAACAACGTTAGTACGTAATAAACAACTATGTGAAACATGTTTAAGTCATAATAATCGCAGTAAATGCTACTCTATGTTCAGATGCAAAAAATGTAATAAAGCTCATAATTCTCTTTTACACATGGATTACAATCAAAAAAATGTTAGAGTCAACACGAAAATTAATAAAGACGAGAAAACCTGCTCCACAATAAAAAAAAAAGACAAGAAGAAAATAACTCTACTCCCAACTGTATTAATCAGCACGAAATCTTCAAATGGAGATAATCATGAATTGAGAGCTTTGATTGATCAAGGCTCACAAGTATCTATGGTATCAGAAAAAATAGCTCATTCATTATTGTTAAAGAAAATTAGATATAAAACCAAACTATCAGGACTATCTAATGTAAACATGGCTACATCGAATTCAAAAGTATTTATGGAAATATCATCGAGATTCAATAATAAAAATAAAGTTAAAGGAGAATTTTTGGTGATATCCCATCTAATAAAATTATTGCCAGAAGAACCAATAGAAGTTGAAGACGCTGTTTGGGATACTTATAAGTTGGCATATCCTGAATTTAATAAAAGCGATCGTATTGATTTAATAATAGGAAGCGATCTTTATCCAAAAATAATAAAAGAAGGTATTAAAAAATATAACGATGTAGTCGGACAAGAAACTATATTTGGGTGGATAATATCTGGTCAATTACCAACAAATACAATAAAAAATCAAGCAATATCAGATTTAAATTTAGAGCGATTTTGGGAAATAGACGATGAAAACAACACAAACTTACAAGAAGATGAAAAATGTCAAGAACTATATAAAACAACTACAACAAGAGATACAGACGGTAGATTCATGGTGCAAATCCCATTTAAAGAAGAATTGTCTTTAGGGAATTCTAGAAAACAAGCAGTAGCAAGACTAATCAACCTAGAGAAGAAAATGAAGAAAGAAATTAAGTCAGAATACATAGAGTTTATGCGAGAATACGAACGTTAAGGTCATATGGTCAAAGCAGAAAATGAAAATGAAGGGTTGTACTATATGCCTCATCAGGCTGTAATCAGAGAAGCAAGTTCAACAACGAAACTACGTGCAGTTTTTGATGCGTCCGCTAAAATAACAAATGGAAATAGTCTTAATAATATCATGATGACCGGACCGCGATTATAAAAAGACATATTTGACATAATAATAAAATGGAGGTTATGGAAATTCGTGGTGACAGCAGATGTGGAAAAAATGTATAGACAAATAAAAATTGCAGAAGAGCATCAAGATTATCAACGTATACTTTGGAGAGAAAATCCAACAGACAGAATTGCGGAATTTAAATTAACCACAGTTACTTATGGAACTGCTTCGGCCCCATTTTTAGCAGTTCGCACATTACAACAAATTGCTGAAGACTATAATGGAGACATTCTTGTTAAAAATACAATTAAAGATGATTTTTATATGGATGACTTATTGACTGGCGCTGATACAAAATTAGATTGTAGAAATAAAATCAATACAATTTTCAAATGTTTAAGCAGCGCTGGATTTAAATTGCGGAAATGGATGTCCAATAATCAATCAATCTTGAAAAATCTTCCCATTGATGCCGAAAATAAAATACTGTGCATAGAGGAAGATAATTCAATAAAAACACTAGGATTGAAATGGAATCCAAAAAAGGATGAATTCCAATTCACAATAAATATATTATCAAATGAGAAAATAACTAAAAGAATGGTATTGTCAATATACGCAAAAATGTTTGACCCATTAGGTTGGTTAACACCAATAACAATTATCGCAAAATTATTTATTCAAAAACTTTGGCAATTAAAATATGATTGGGATGAAAACTTAAATGAGCAAATTCATAATGAATTCAAAGAATATAATAAAAATATGCAAACAGTGGAGCAAATTCGAATTCCAAGATGGATGGGAGTCTCGAGTTCAGATAATTGGGAGTTACATGGATTCTCGGATGCATCTGAAGCCGCTTATGCAGCGGTAATATACATCAAAATCGGTTTACATATAAACCTATTGACTGCAAAGAGCAAAGTAGCACCAATAAAAAACAAGAAGACTATTCCCAAGCTAGAACTATGTGGAGCTCACTTATTAGCAAAACTAATGAGTAAAATAATTAAAATTTTAAATACAAATCCAAAAACTTATTGTTGGAGCGATTCTGCAATCACGTTATGGTGGCTAAAAGAACCAAAAAACAAAGAGAAGTTTGTAAGAACTCGTGCAACAGAAATTAAAAATTTAATTCCAGAAACTGAATGGCGTCATATAAGATCAAAAGATAATCCAGCTGATGTAGCATCTAGAGGCATCTGTGCAAACAAATTAAAAGATTACATGCTATGGTGGCATGGGCCTGCATGGTTAGTAAAACCAAAGGAAGAATGGCCAAATGATGAAAAATTAAATGGAATGTCAACAGTTATCACGACTTTAATTTCAGATAATAATTTTTTGAGCGATTTGATAGAAAAAATATCAAAATTATCAAAACTAGAAAGAACCGTGGCATATGTTTTACGATTTATTAACTGTTTGAAAAATAAATCAAAAAATTCAAATCATTTATCAAAGGAAGAACTAGATAAAGCAAGAAATAAAATAATTCGTCAGCACTAACTTACACATTTTTCTTCAGAAATATCAAGCATTAAACAAGGGAAGGAAATAAATATGAATTTGCTATTCAATTACGACCATTTATAGATAAAAATGGAATATTAAGAGTAGGAGGAAGACTACAAAACGCGAACATTACATATAATCAAATACATCCAGTGATTCTAGCTAAAGATCGATATTCAGAATTAGTAATATATCAACCACATCAATCAACACTACATGGTGGGCAATCATCGATGAAAGCACATATAAAACGACGATTTTGGATATTAGGGATGAGGAAAACTATAAAAAAGATATGCCACAAGTGTATAAGATGCATTCGATTCAATCAAAATTTTGCTAAACAAATAATGGGGTATATACCTAGTTACAGAATAAACATATCTCACCCATTCGAACACACAGGTATTGATTACGCAGGACCCATATACATGAGGTATTCTAAAGGTCGCGGCCAAAAATCATTCAAAGGTTACATCGCAGTATTTGTATGCATGTGCACAAAAGCAATTCATTTAGAGGCAGTAAGCGACTTATCATCAGAAGCATTTATAGCTGCATTAAAAAGGTTCTTTTCAAGGCGTGGGAAGAGTGCACATTTATATTCAGATAATGGCACTAATTTTATTGGCGCATTAAAAAAATTAGATAAAGAGTTTGGAAATGCGATCAAAAATAATACATCGATGGTACCAATTCTTGCAGCAGAAAAAATTGAATGGCATTTTATTCCTCCGGCAAGTCCGTATTTTGGCGGTATATGGGAAGCTGCTGTAAAATCCGTAAAATATCATTTGAAGCGCGTAATAGGTGAAACAAAACTAACATTTGAAGAGATGACTACACTTCTAAATCAAATTGAAGCAGTACTCAATTCACGACCACTTTGCTATACAAGTAGCGATATAGACAGTATTGATGTTCTTACACCTGGACATTTCTTAATAGGTCGTCCAATATTAGACGAACCAGAAACTGAAGTCAAAAATAATATAAGTTTAATAGACCGTTGGAAACTTGTACAAAAAATTAAAACAGATTTTTGGAAAAAATGGAAAAATGAATATGTCACGTCTCTACAAAAACGAAACAAATGGTTTAGAGAAAAACCGAACTTAGCAGAGGGGCAAGTAGTATTTATTAAAGACGAAAATACCGCGCCTACTAGATGGCCATTAGGAAAAATTACAGAAGTATTTAAAGGTAAGGATGGAAAAGTAAGAGTAGTAGAGCTTAAAACTAAAAATGGAAAATTAAAAAGACCAATTCACAAACTTGCTGCTTGATGGATTCTGACACAATCTATGATAAGAACCAGGCGAAAACAGACGAAGCTTATTGCAACTTAAACATAAAATCAAACGTAAAATTAAGAACCAAAAAGCTAGCATGGACCACCTTGTATTTTTTAATGTTATGTGTTTTACCAACAGTAAAAGCAGTGGTAAAATCATCAGTTGCGTCAGTACATGAACTAAATAATAAAACAACGTTATATTTGGACATGATTGGAGAAGTCACTTCAGAAACATCATCTTGGAATCTAATAATATATTATGATATGCAACCATACTTTGATATGGCTAAAAACGCAGAGGATATTCTTAGCAAAGCTAATAATATATGTCCCAAATTACTAAATTTTGCTGACCAATGTAAGAATATATTAAATACAATGCTGAAAAAATTATCAGATATAAACGATGGTAATAAGTTATTTATATGGTATGTACGAGAGAGGAGAAAAAGAGCGCCGTTGGCATTCGTTGGTTCATTTTATCACCTCCTATTCGGAATGATGGATGAAGATGACCGAAAAGCTTTAGAAGAAGATATGAATAATCTTCTAGAAAATCAACATAATTTAAAAAAGATGACTGAAAGACAAACATCGGTAGTAGAAACAACAGTAAATATATTAAAACGCACATCTGAAGAAATTCAGCAACAATACAATGAAATTCATAAAAGAGTTGAATCCATAAACACTGCTTTGAATGAAACTTATCTTGTTTATAAGGAATCAATAAATTTTTTTATGGTAGCAAGACAGTTATCAAATATGATAGAAGAATGTTCTCAAATTCAATCTGAAGTAATGGAACTCTTAATGGACGTTAACCATGGAAAATTAAATCCAGCACTTATAAAACCATCACAGTTACATCGCGAAATAATAAAAATAAGAGATATAATTCCCGAAAATCAAATGCTACCTGGTAAAAAAACTGGAACGGAGTTAGAATCCATATACAAGTTATTAAAAGCAAAAGGGCTATTTATTGGAAACAAATCAGTAATTAACGCAAAAATTCCACTTTTCAGCAAGCAATCATCTAGTATATATAAAATAATACCTATATCAATCAATCAAGGTGTAAAATATATAATTCCGAAAGTTATGTCATCATTTTTACTATATAATCTCGAAATAAATGCATATCAATTGATGGATCCTCTGACATGGAGTCAATGTAACAAGATAGAAGAACAACAATTTACTTGTGAAGGTAATTTTCTGTGGAAGGATGCAAACGATAATTCTTGTGAAATATCACCACTAAAACCAACTAATCAAAATAATTGTCACTACGAAGAAGTAAATAATTCTTCCATTTGGGTCAAATTATACCGACAGAATAGTTGGATATTCAAAACTTTTAGACAAGAATCTGCCCACATTAGATGCTCAAATTCAATGGAAGAAATAATAACTCTATCAGGTCAAGGCATTCTATCACTAACAGAAGGATGTATGGCACGTATAAGAGAAACAACATTAACATCCTCTAGTAATCTGCAAAGCTCCACGATAGTAGAAGTAATCAAGCCAGTTACTAAAGATGCAATTATAATAAATAATAGTAATATAAAACCCTGGCACCATTGGAAAATAAATAACAAAGAAGAAATTAATCAAATAAATAAACAACTAAACGATATAACGCAGTGAAGCTAAAAGATTTGCATTTTCATCACGTATCTGGGCACGCAGCACTTGGGTTAACTTCAATAGTGATAATAGCAATAATAATCTACCTAGTTCGAGCAACAATAAGACGAAGACAACTACTAGCTATTGCAATTTCTACCCGCCGGCAGGATGTTCAGGAGTGAACATAGATTATAAGTTATGAAAAATTGTACGAAATTTAAAAATATACTTTCATGCATAATGTTAATACAATCCTATTATATTATTTTTTTAAAAAAAAATTATATTTAATTCAACCTTTTGTAACTATGTCAGATTATATTTTATTATATATTGAAATAATTATTTTGCAGAATCCACGACTCTGCGTTTTTTAAATAAGATGGCAGTATGTTCAAGAATGAACATTGTTTTAATTTATATACCATAATGTTAATTATATAATCTTATTATTTTATATTATCTGTTAAAATTATATTTTATTTAATTCGATCTTTACATGACTCTGCATTTAAGAGTTCTGGCAGAATGTTCAATAATGAACATGCTTTCTCTGTTATTTGAATAAAGAGAAATAAAATACTTTTCCAGAACAACAAAAGTAAAAATAAGCAATCCAACAACTGTAATCATATTGATAATTGAACCTAAGTAAATAATAGGTTCTCCACATTGCTTACATAAAACTTAAATACCAAATTTATATTTATCATTATTGTAACAAATGCCATCAAGGCGTCTCTGCATGGGATTGTAAAGATAAATATAGATAGATTTAATTAATTCTAAACAAATAATACCAAAATAGCATATGAGCATGTGTAGCACTAAAATCTTTTTTTATCACTAATGTAAATTGTAAGAACCAGAAAATACAGTCCACTAAAAACAAATGCAATATTGTTAATGATAACATTGAACACATGCTGAGTAAGACTATTTCACTCTTAATTTCTAAGACAAAAATTGTGTATATAAACCGTAGTATTTTAAGAAATAAATCAGTATCAAACGAATACTCAAGCCTTTTATTTGACAGCGGTTGATTGCTATTTTCACTACTTTCACGACGATGTTTAAAATTGTTGAAGGGTCGTTGCATCCTTCCATGATTTTGTGGTGGTCCATTTGGATTCCAAAAATTGTTATTGTTTCCTCGAAACTGTGGTGTATGTCTATTTTGAGGTTGTGGCCTTTGTTGTATGGATGTATCAACATTCATTGTTCAGGCTTAGGAAAATTATTTTGCCTGGGTTTATTTACATTTGCGCGACTAAAGCGCAAGTTAATGGAGAAATTATTCTGATTTTGGTTAAAATTTTTTTTCTGATCAGAGAATTGGAATGCGAATTTTGCACGCAAACTATTGGCTTCTAGCTCCTGAGCTTAAGCCAATGCATTTGGTAAATCTGTTGGTGACAGGAAAAATAATATGTCGTTTAATGGAGCGTGTAGCCCAGTAATGAACACTCTTAAGGCGTTCTGGCGATTTTTGTTATTTAATTCTAGTGTGATGGACGAGTCATTACCGTGAGTCATTATTGTTTTATTGATTAAAAGGGTTAATTTTTTATTAACAAGATTATAATAGTCCAGGACTGTGGATGAGCCTTGTCTAAGGATACTCAACTCCTGTTCAATGACATGAATTAGACGCTTGTCAGCATAAGCAAAATCGAGTCTGCTTATAATGGCATCATAATTAAGGACAGTTCCATTACTCGTTAGTACATCGTTACCTTGATGAACTATTTTGTTTCTTAATATTGTTAGGACAGCGAAATATCTTCGACTACCTCTAGTGTAGAGGCTCATACAATTGTGAGCTGCTTCTCTCCAGCTAACATAAGAATTTTGGTTTCCGGTAAATTCTGGAATTGATTTTATTATGTCTAGACTTTCGTCACAAGTTATTGTCTCGTCAATAGTTTGTGGTTCATATTCCACTACATTGTTTGTACCTGTCAGTGTTTGAATTTGACTCTTCAAACTCCTAACTTCTTCCCTAAGGGATAATAGATTAACAGAGATCAATCTGCTGATCGTCTCTTGGGTTATTGTGGTTGATGGTGTAGTGTTTGTAGCCATTTTGGCGAAATTTTTTTACTAAGTCGTCCAGGATTTTTTATTATATATGTATTAAAAGATAATAGCAAATATCCAATGTAAACAGAACAATTTTACAGAGCTTTCTTGTCTGAGGGAAAATTATCACATGTTACCTCAAATTTATTGAAAAAGGAATATTATTTGCCTGTATATTAGGTGTACTGGTATGAAATGAGCGTTTTTTGGTGAAAATAAAACACTAATTATTAATAGGAAAGTAAAAAAAATTTTATTCAAAGTATTGGCCATTGCTTTCTACACATTTTGACCACCATTCTGGCAATTTGTGGATACCATGCCAAAAAAATTGTTCGTCTTTTAAACCAAACCAACCAGACACCCAATTTTCGACCTCCTCGTAGGAATCAAAGAGCTGCTCAGCCAATGCGTGTCCCATCGATTAAAACAAATGCTAGACGGAAGGAGCCAAGTCTGGTGAATACGGCGGGTGGGGTAGCAGCTCCCAGCCAAGTGTTTTGATTGCATCCTGAACCCGTTTTGCTTTGTGTGCAGGTGCATTGTCATGGAGCAGAATTACCTTGCCGTGTCTTCTGGCCCATTCTGGTCGTTTCTCGATCAATGCATGGTTCAAATTTATCTTTGTTGTTCATAGCGACCAGCATTGACGGTTTCACCAGGTTTTAGGAGCTCGTGGTACACCACACCTTTCTGGTCCCACCAAACACACAGCATTGTCTTCTTGCCGAATCGATCTGGTTTTGCAGTCGATGTTGATGGTTGTCCCGGATTAACCCATGATTTTTTCCATTTAGGATACTTAAAATAAATCCATTTTTCATTAATAATTCGATGCAAAACCAATTTTCTTTCGTGTCTTTGAAGCAAAATTTCACAAGTGTTTTTTCGGTTTTCCATCTGTCTTTCATTCAATTCATGTGGCACCCATTTTTCACACTTTTGGATCTTTCCCATAGCTTTTAAACGGTCAGAAATTGTTTGTTGTGCAACATTTAACATTTCTGCCAATTGCTTTTGACCCAAAGTGTCATCTCCATCCAATATCGTTTACAATTCGGCGTCTTCAAACTTTTTTGGCGGTCTTCCACGTTGAAACCATCTTTTGCATGTTGCTTCTGATAAAGCATGATCACCATATGCCTCGACAAGCATTCGATGCGACTTTGCACCACTTTACCACTTTTCTTCAAATGAGAACAAAAAATTAATGCTTTCCGCAAATCATGACTTTCTGGTACAAAATTCGACATTTTTAATACGATGAAAAAATATGATGTTGTCTGTTCAATGACTTGATGTATACTAAATATATTTCACACATGTCATAGCAAACAAACAAAAAGAAATAAAGGCTCGTTCACAACAAATGTTCCCTGTTGGAACATTTGTATCTTTACGCTCACTTCATACCGGTACACCTGGTATATAATTTTTTAATAAATTTCTCTCTTTAATGCACCCAGCATAAATGCAGTTATAGTGCTCAAATGAATTAGTTTTAATACCAGCGATTAACGCATTCGGTATTTTAATTTATTTAATTGTATATTTTTTAATTAATATAAATATTTTTATTATTTTAATAAATTCATATATTCATTTAAATTAATTTTTATTCGAATTTATTTTATTGAATTAGTGAAAGAAACTAAATAACAGTATTAATGTTCAAAAAGAAATACCTTCAATTTATTTGCAGATGATGTTTCTATTAGTGCCAACTGTTGATCGTTATTGTAACTGCTTTTGTTGTTGATGCTCCAAAGGCTGCTGCTATAATTTTAATCGATTTTGGTCAGGAATGTGAAGTTGCGTAGATTTTAAATTAAAAGTTATATTTACTTCCACCTCTTAATTATTGTTTAATTTAGTAAATATATTACTGCTTTTTATTTTTATAAAATTCAACAGTTTTGTTTTTTAATTTAGCACAATTTTATTCAGGAGTTTATTTAGCGATTATTTTTTAGAAAAATTTTCTTGAAAATTTTTTTATTCAGTTTTCAATATTTAACCATTTAATGTATCAACACAATTTTGTAAATACTTTTACACATATATTTTGCTATTAATTTTTTCCATTAATATTTATTATTTTGAAACACAAATTTTCTGTAAGCAATGTCACAACACTTTGTTCAAAATTAAATTGTTAATTTCAATTGTTGTTTTATACGACATTCTTAAATATTGTCAAACACAATTATTATTTAATGTTTTCAGTTTTTATGAAGTTTGACTCTATCTAAACTTCAATATTAATTTTGTAATTTAAATGAAAAAATTTTTCTCAAAAAAAAAAAAAAATTTTTTGCACTCGCGAAATCTCGTTTTGTTTCATTAGAGATTTTTTTATTTTCGAGAGCTCCACGTTGGGCGCCAATTAAAATACGGGTTCTTAGTTTTGTATTTAAAAAAATATATAATTTATTTATATATAAGAATAAAAATTAAATTACTAGTTCTTACTTTTGTATTTAAAAGCGATATAATTTATTTATATTTATTATTTAACAATTTTATTATATTTCGACAACTTAGAAAGAGGTCTATAGCTTTTCGTATTCTATTCGTATCTTTTAAATTTGAATGCGACTTGTCTATTCCAACTTTTCCTAACGACTGCTCTTTAAAGTTTCTGCTTTGATGTCTGAAGTCGTTCATGAGAGTTTTTGGATTGGATTTGACGAATCAAATTATAGCTTCTAAAATTCCTTAGAATGTTCTAGAAGCTTCTTATCTCCATCCTATAGGATTGGAGCTTCTATTTTCTAAAGCGCCTCGAAAGCGTCTTTAGCCTTGGCGTCAGTAGGCAGATGACGAGATTCATATCCAATGGTATTTGGACATCTCATCGATCAAGTATTTCAAATGATACTTGATATGTTTTGCGCAACATAGTTGCGTCTTGAAAGAAAACAAATTTGTTTTCTTTCGCAACATTGTTGCCATAAGAAGTGCAGGCAGAAAGCCTGACTGAAATTGAATATACAAACGCGCGTAGGCATTGTGAGATATCTTAATGCGCAATACTTTGATGATCATACTTAAGATACGAAAATTGCGTAGAAAGGCAAAGTGCCGTTATAGTGATGCAGGGTGTTAACTTGCATGCATTTGCTCTGATATTAGAGTTTTTTCTATAAGGTTTTGTGTATGCAAAATATGTTGTGTACGATATTGGTTTGATTGGTGACTACGCTAACAAAATATTAGTGAGCATACGTGAAATAATAAGTTCGATTTTTCTTACGTTCGAACAGACATATTTACCCCATTGCGTGTACCTTTTCAGAATTTATGCTTTTTTAACAGAGGCAAGTTACATGTCTTTATATTTCTATGTTTTTGGCTATGTTAATGTTAAATACTTATGTTAAGAATTCTAGATTAAGGACGTTATGTTAAGTAAAATAATATCATTATAACGAGATTAAATGTTTTAAGAAAATTGTATAAATACAGAACAAATTGGAACACAGTGATCAGTTGAAATCGTTCTACGGTTAACTGATAGCAATACTTTACTTCCTTAGCGAAAATTTTTAAAAGTGAAATATATTGCTCTCTTAGCGAGAATTCTTATTGTTTGGATATTCTGCTCCCTTAGTGGAAATCCTAATATAATGAAATTTATAGTTAAATATTATACTGGACTTACCATCTAAACAAAATGTGGTGTAATCCAAACAACAGCTGTCTTCTATCTGACATTCGGAATGGCAATTGCATAACATAACTAATTCTCTATTATTTCGCACTACACCGTTAGTTAAATGTTTTTCATTGCAACGTGATTCGCATGATTCATAAGAGTTAATTGATTCTTCTGTAAAATGGATTTTAATTTACTGGCAAAACCGTTACTGCACATTTCTTTATAAAACCTGTTAGATACTTAGAACCAATTTCTTCATTAGAGATATTTTGAAGGCCTGTACAATTTCTGTCAGCGAACAGTCGCACATCGTCGATAGCAATGTCACTGAAATGAGATATTCCTTCTGTAGCAACAAATATTATTTGAAAATCCTCAGACATTTTTGGAACTTTGAAATGAGCTTCATTCCAAATATTGTTTTGCTGGCCACTTATCTTAAACGCCCGATATCTATGGAAAATAATAATTGAATTCACAGTTTAGTATACATATTTTATTTAATTTAATCTACATTTTATCATTAGTTTCCAATTCTCCCAAATTAGCAGTCACCGGCATTATGTATACAAACAATGTTCCGACACCTACGCCATACATAAAGTAATAAAACTGAAAGCAACAGTTATGATCTACCGTCAATTCAAGTGAGTATATTGGTGAAATTAGTTTCATGGTTTCTCCTTGCCCTGTACCCCAGTCTTCCATTAACATGTAATGACCACCATAAGCGTTTCGAGTTGTGTGGTCATGCAATGGGCCAGTGTGATATGATTTAAACAAATTTGCGGCCATAACACGTTTCCAGTAATATATTGTGCCAAGTTGATGTGCCCATCCACAGCTATCCTCAGGCTCGAAATCGCAGTATAAGTTACTACTACTCTTTTTCTCTACAATTGATATAATTTCTTGATTTATAAATGCGATATCAAACAATGAATACGTATAACACAACGTACTTTTACATTCACCAATCTGTCTATCCCAGTGCGTTCCATTGCAGAAAGCAAGTCGACTACCAGTTAATACATAGTTTTGATTGCAGAAAAGCATGGCCTTGTATTCACTTATGATTTGAATATTACCGTTTTCTGGTTTCTGAAAGTCGGTATTACATCCTTTTTCTGTAGTTAAAAATAAATAAAAAGCTTTAAACATATGATAACAAGAACAAAATACAGTATTTAAGATATAATGTAACTTATTTCATATAAAATATAGAATTAAAAATATTTCATTCACTAAATATGTTTCTTACTTGCGCATACTGATTTTTCTCCGTACCACTTCCCATTTTTGCAATCTATAATTCGATTTCCATTGAGCCAATAACCAGTGTTGCAGTTGATTCGCATTAGCATGTTGTTTCGCCTCATCTTAAAAGTACCATTTGGTATCGCATCAGGTGGATTACAGTCTACGCGATGATTACTATTTCGGACCGCCAAGGAGCAGGTAAAAATCAATGATGCCATTAAGCTGACACATAACCAATTAATTTTTTCAGTAATCACCATAATTTTAAAAGGAACTAATAAAATTTGTAGTTGCCTTTTATTTAATAATATTTCAGATAGATCATGTACCAATATAAAACGTCTTAAATATTATATTCTGTTCAACACAATAACGCGTTGTATATTAAATTTGAGTGAAATGTTAAATATTCCTTACATTAGTTTGATAAGAAAATTGAAATTTTTTTGATTTACTTTAATGTTTCTTCGTTTGTATTTTTTTTATTATCTTAAACATAATATGCTCTTGTCACCAATTCCATACCCTGTATGTGTTTCTCTCTTAGCGTTTTTTTATGTTTTATTACTGATAAGGCTTGAATTTTATGTTATTGTTTTAAAGACGCATACCAATACTTTGCTCTATTTTTTTTTTTGATTTTCTGAGTCACTTTTGATATTTTATTTATGTTTTGTTAAAAAAATATTCAATATGCCTCACATTATGAAATAATGTAGCAGTTTTGAAACCGAACTCTGCTTCAAAAATGTTAACTTTCTACTTTAGTAAATTACTTTATATGTTTTGAACAGACTATAATACGACGACATAATTTTCAATTCAGCTTCATAATAAAAGCTTCAAAAGAAATTTTGAAAAATTGTACTTATTTATTTGATACAAACCAGAATTAACATTAACTTTATTAATAATTCTGTCTGAAGCTGTGAGTTTAATATCTTAAGTAGACTTGGTTCAATTCTTAGCATTAGAAAACTGTATCTACAAGAGATTAACACTTTTGCTTTAGTAAGATTGTAGTACAATATGAAGTCATGCTTGCTTTTGTAGATATATGTTAACAGTATCTGTAACCCTCAAGCTACCGAAGTAAGAATTAACTAAAATCGTGAGACTAGCAAGAGGATTGATACTTTAGCAAATAAAAACCCATAGTGCCATGTTACGTAGATAAATTAATAGTATGTTTTTTGTTCGTCTCTAAATTTTTGATTCAGTATATTATTTAGACGATTATACTACGGGTTTAAAATCACCTGAATATTTTCTAATACATCAATTTTAAAGGCCTCATCTTAAAGGAAAGTAACGCAAAGTATTAATAACTAGCTAAATAAAATAACTGGCATTTTGTTCCTTATATTAAATATTTCTTATACTTTTATATATTTAAATATATTGAAGTCAAAAGTATTTGAGCATAAATTTCATCGCTTATAAACATTTTTTCGTACTTCAGTATATCTTTAAATTTTTTGTCACGTATATGACATATATGAACAATTTTGATTAAATGTCTTATATTATTTTCCCGTTGCTTGTCATATACTTAGAATTGTTTCTTAGTTATTGGTGTAGTTAAACTTCATCTCAGGAAAGTTTGGGGGAAAAAGAAAAGTGTCATGGGAAAAAGCACTGTTTCTGTTTCAATATTGTGGAAAGCAGTTTTTTTCAGATCTTTTTTGATTTAAAGTTATGATTCCAATTATAAAGGTGATTGTTGTATATGAAGTAGGGAAATGTCAACACGATATTGCAAATTCAAACGTAAGTGCGAGTGTACAACGTTTGTTAAACATTATTTTCTGAATATGTTTGCAGGTTGCTTTGTCTGGTGGAAATAAAAGCAAAAATACCGTAAGGAAACTCTACTGTTGAATTTACATTTAGTAAGCGACAGGCAACATTTTTCAATTGATTTAAGTAATGGAATTTATGTTGTTGGGGAAATATTGTTTTATCGGACATATGCATTTTCCAGTTTTTGTTTGATAGTTATAAAGAATTCGGCTCCTAACGTTCTAGCAGTATCATGTGGACTGTGTATATAGTTATGTATTTCGTCATACTGGCACATCTTCATAGCCAAATACATAGGTTTAACTGAGTAACATCCTTCTTACCAGTGGTAAGGATTACATATGCACGCGTCCGTAACTTTTAACTGTATACAGGTGGAAATTTAACACAACGGTTGTATAAAAAAAAAAATTTTTTTCTTAATTTAAAATAAAGTATGGTTTTCTGACAATAATCTTACATTTATTTAGTAATTTTATTTATCGTTAACATCAAATTTCAATTTAACATTTGATTTTATTCAACTTTAAATTCTCGTTTAACAGTAAATTGATTTTATTTTATTCAATATCAACTTCTTTCAATTTAATTTATTGCTGTGGAGGTCTTTATCTAAACAAAAACAATACATATTCAAACGAAGTAATAATACCACGTATAGTCACCCTAGTCTAGTTTACACAAGCCGTCCATGTTGTTTATTTATTAATTTATTTATTTTGTTTTTTTAATATTATAATTTAAATAACTACACATTTCAACTAAATAATGTAATTTTACTATTTTGTTAATTTAAATGTGCATTGTATGCACATGTCAGAAAGAAAAATATGTGCAAAAGCTTTTGCCTTTCTTTTGCTTGTTTTATTTATTCAAAACAAAGCAAAATGACGAAAAAGCTTTAGATGATCTGGATGGGGAAAAAAGAAGAAAAAGAAGTAAAATAAGAAAAATGCTGCCAAGTTATACAAAATAATTTCGGAATGCACAAAATTACAACTTTTAACTAGACAGCAGCTCAGTTTCGAATACGAGTCAAACCAGAAATATAAAAGCAGACAATTCACGGAAAAAGGGTGCTTATTTTTCTTCTATGGTTGATCGACATGCCTCAAAAATTACTTAACAACATATACATAAATACATAAATATCTGCAGTTTGCAGATCTTCGTTATTTCGTTACGGTTGCTAGATTATATGTAAAAACTTCCCTTGTTTTTGTCTGTATCTTATTGAAATCCACCGGAGATCTGGTTATTATGAAGCACACAGTTAAATAATTCTTGTTCATAATGTTCGTATTGGTGTCGACGTCAATGTTTATGTTTGAAATTTTTTGCCGAGCTTTAGGTCGTGGTTCTAAAATTTATATTTTTATATAATAACTTGTATATTATAAAAAAAAAACTTTGGATTAAATAAAATATCACAAAGAATAATTTATTATTTAATTTATTATTAATTTATATTATTTTATTAAGAAATTATTAACAAAGTAGACCAAAATATTTGTTAATAAAATAATGTATTGCATAAATTTATCTTTGTGATATTTTTTTTAATCCAAAGTTTGTTTTTTATAAAATACAACTTATTATATAAAAATATAAATTTTAAAACCACGACCTAAAATCCGGCAAAAAATTTCAAACATAATTCGTGTTATTTCGTGGTTGTTTTTTTTGCTATTTTAGGAATTTAGGTTTCTCATCCATTAATTTATAACATAAGTTTTATGTATATGGGTCATTTTTTTACAAATCGGACGGATTTTGGCAGAAAATGACCTCATGATATTCGATTTGGCTGAAATTTTTTTTATGAGCTCCTTTCATAAAATAAGAAGACCCGTACCTCGGAAAAAATTTTGTGATTTTTTCTTCGGAGATAAAGAACCATGGGGTTTTGAGAATTGGCAATGTAGACTCATTTTCAAATGGCTATATCTCAAGTTCTATAAAAGGTAGAAACTTGAAATTTACAGCGTTTTAAAGTAATTGATTAAACTTTTATGAAATTGTTTAAACAATTAAGATTGTTTATATTTAAGTACTAATATTAACCATTAAATTTCAAAAAAAAATTTTTCTCAAAACTATTTTGTAAATTTTCATTTCTTATATTTTATTTAGATTCAGTTTTAAACTGTACTACGAAATAAAAATTTTCGTTAATTTTCTAAATTTTTTTTTCTCCCGTAAAACACATGAAGCACATTTTCATTGAATGAATTTTCAAAGAATATACCACAAATATTCCTACATAATATTTTTGATTTCAATTAGTAGTAAAATTCTACAAAAATCTCAAACATTTCTAGACGATATTGTCATTAGAAGTACTTTTAAAAATTTATTTATTCTTTATATCACACCACACATATACACACGAGTTTTCATTAAAACTCATATAAAAATTTTTTTTTTTTTAATGAACAATGATGTTCAGTACAATCTATAAGATTGGTGAGACATTGATTGTAGGTCAATAACTGATTTTATTTAAAATTATTTCGTATTTTATACGAAGTAAAATGCAACAATAATTGCAAGAAGTACAATAATTACTTAAATTAATTTATAATTTAATTCGCACAAATTGTTTACTTACTCTTAATTTTTTGTTGATTCCTCAACATCCAGTGTGATATTCCTTTTAAAAGTAATTAAAAAACATAAATTTATCAGGTGTCCTTCACGTTGCTCATACGCCCCATAATACCATTAAATCAATGTCCCAAGGAAAACAACACAAAAATGCTTACTTTTTATTTCTAAAATAAATGTATATTAAATTGTACATAAAATATAACCATTTTAAATCAGTTCCGTTTCATTTCTGTTTTTAAATTATGAATTTTAACATAATTAAACCGTTTAACAAACTTTTTTCTCATATAGTTGAATTAAAAAGTGCAGCACATAATCACACCTACCTTTTTCGGTGAAGTGTTATTTTGCTAAAGCTGGAAAAATACTCTTCACAGGTAAGAAATGTTAAAGGAAAAAAACTGTAAGGAGCTAAAAACAAAATATTTTTTTTTATGGTTTTTACATTGATTTTATTAATTCTCATTTCATTATTAATACATAATCTGTAATGTCTGAAGAAGAAAATATTTTTGCTATTAATACTTTTTTTGGAATTTGGAATAGGGCAGTGATATTTTAATGTGCCTTTAAGTAATGTAGTTGCTTCAAAGCTGTGTTTAATCTTATTTTCATCTGCTTCATAGTCTTTTAACGTTGAGAAATGGCACACAATATTTGGTAAACATTCCTTAGCCCAGTTAAATAATTCCTTTGACGTTTGAATTGGATTATTTATTCGTTGAAGCCTAGCTCTTGCAGCATTCCTCTTTAAGGTACCAACTAAGTGCCATTTTGTTTCCAAACCAAATTCCGCTTTGTGATGAGTTAAATTAATAACTCATTTTATTTTAAAATAAAATTTTTTTTATTTATATATTGTGAACCCAATCTATCGGAAAGATAAATAATTTTTTTTTAATATCCGTATTAATTTTTTTATGAATTTCATAGCGTATTTTTGAAGCAAATGTACAGCAGTTGTGTTGTGATGTAAACAGTCAGATATGCAGACAAAATTTTTATTTGTAGTCTTATATTTTCATCAGCTTAGTTATTATTACTGATGTGGAACTAACAAATTTTTTAATTCATCTACCTATATAAGAAAAAAGTTTATTAAACGGGTCAAACGGTAAACATTTTTTTGTTGTTTTTCTTGGAACATTGATTTAATGGTATTATGGTGCGTATGAGCAACGTGAAGGACACCTGATAAATTCATTTTTTTAAATTACTTTTAAAAGGAATATCACACTGGAAATAATTATTTTTTAATTAGAATTTATATATTAATATGATTAAAAAAAAAAAATTTGTGTGACATATTCCTTTTTTTTTGAATGAAAAATCGTGTATATGTGTTTGGTGTGATATGAAGGATAAATAAATTTTTAAAAGTAATTCTAATGATAATAATATCATATCATAAATCTCAATATAAATTTTTAGATTTTTGTAGAATTTTATTACTAATCGAAATCAAAAATATTATATAAGAATATTTGTTGTATATTCTTTGAAAATTCATTCAATGAAAATGTAGTACGCATGTCCATGATGTGTTTTATGGGAGAAAAAATAATATTAAAAAATGACGGTATCTTGAAAATTTTTATTTCATAGTAGAATTTAAAACTGAATCTAAAAAAAGTATTAAAAATGAAAATTTTCAAAATAGTTTTAAGAAAATTTTTTTTTTTAAATTTAACGGTTAATATTACAATTTAAATATATATAAATATACTAGCTGACCCGGCGAACGTTGTTTCACCTTGCAATTAATTTTCTTAGCTCAGTTGAGTTATAATATTTGTTGTTATTCAACTTAACCTTTAGCATTTTAATGCGAAAATTATTTTGAATTGATTTTATCTTTTGAACTGCAAAAAGTCCACATGCATTACTTATGTTACAAATATTTTCATGTTACTTCAAATCCTTATAAGCACTACTTTTAAATGAAAAAAGGTTTTTTTAATATTATGTCTATCTTACTATTATGTTATCTTAAAGCTAAATTATGAACAATATTTTTTGTTAAGCCAATTTGACCGTGTATACATAGATCAGAAGGTTTTCCAACACGGGAACATGCAACATATAGTTGCCCATGCGAAAAACATGGATTTGCCAAATTCAGTCCACATACTTTTAATGTTTGACCTTGAGATTTATTAATTGTTATCGCAAATGCTAAACGAATTGGAAATTGCAATCGTTTGAATTGAATTGAAACATCGGTTGGTATAATTGGTATGCGTGGAAGCAATATATTTTCTCCTTTGAATTTTCCACTTTATATTGTTGATTCAATTAAGTTCCCCATAATTCTTTTAATTACTGATCTTGTTCCATTACATAATTTGGTGGGTTTAGATTGCGTAATAGAATGATTGGTGAACCAACTTTTAAAAGTAAGTTGTGTGGTGGTAGTCCTGGCAAATCACACAAATTTAGGAACTCAGTGGGATAATTCACAATCTCGTTTTTATCTACCACTGTGTCGATGGATTTTAACGAAATTAAATTACCAGGTAGCATAGCTAAGTTCTTGGCAGCCAGAATCGCTCTACTTTGAAGCCATTGATGGTTCTGATAATTTTGATATATGTGAGGAAATACGCTTTCTATTAATTCCTCTTTCGAATTAACAATTTTACAAATATTTTCTGGCAATTTAATAAAGTGCGTATTTTCTTGAAGACTTGCGTTTCCATTAACAATATTCAGCAATTGTTTGGCAAACAGTTCTGCAGCTAAATCTCTCTGTAGTCCAACACGCATGTTTTCGGTAATTCGCAATATATGGACACTTCGCCACAAAATAGATGATTTAAGGCAAGCATTGATTTCATCAGCATAGGTTGAACGTGGAATAACTGGCAATGTTTGTCCAAAAACCACCTGCCAATAAAATTAAAGCGCCTCCAAAAAGTCTATCGTTGGCATTTAAATCTTTAAGCGTTCGATTTAATGCTTTCAATGAATACTTATGTGTCATTGTGCATTCATCCCTAACAATGATGTAACATTTTTGAAGTACTTTAGCCATATTGGAATGTTTTTTTATATTGCATGCTGCATTTTCACATGAATGTATGTTAAGTGGCAACTTTAGTGCCAAATGGGCTGTTCTACCACCATCTAACAATGTCGCAGCGATTTCAGATGATGCTAGTGCTAAAGCGATATTACCTTGCATCCTAACCTGTGCAAGAATGACTGAAATTAAGAAAGTTTTTCCAGTTCCACCTGGTGCATCCAAGAAAAAAAAGCCGCCTTCTTTTGCCGCAGTTGCGTTCCAAACCCGATCATAAATGAACTTTTGTTGGTGAGTTAAGATTTCTTCGCTTCTTGTAACAAATTCAACCAAATCTTCAGAGCTATACTGAAGTACGATTTAGCGAATACAATCCTAATAATTTAAGTGGTTGATTTGATATAAGTAAACATAAGTCTTCGTTCATAATCAAAGCTTCGTTATAAATTTCACGATTGAATTGAATATTTAAGTCATGATTTGTTGTTCTATGTCTATGTAGTACATCTTCACTCATTGAGCATTTATATTTTTCCCACAATTCTTTGGGATTATTTGGAAAACATGTTGTCAACAATATAGCGAATAATTGACGAATTTGATGTGGAAAAGAACTTAATACTGCATCCCGGAGCGTGATGTCCCAATGATTATCGCTTTCCAGCAATTGCAATTCTCTACATGCATCATGATATGTATTGTATAGCTGACCATTGACAGTTCTCAAATACTCATACGATGTTGGACCGCGTACATTTATCAAAAGCAGTCTTAAAAAAAACACTCTCGTTGTTTTGGATGAACAGTATATAAACGACCCAGTGAGTTTGCTGGAAATAATCCTGGATAACCATTGACTGCATCACCTCGTTTACGTGGCTGCCACCTTTTTAAAGCTTTGTTCCCTGTGAAATATGTTGGAACTTCCGAATAAAGTAAAGTTCTTGCGTATTGCCCAAAAATATTTTGTTGTTTATTCAATTCAAAGAACTCGGTTGACGTAGTTTTTGATGTTGTTAATGCCCTTTCTATTGCATTTTGTTCGTTGAAATAAACACGTTGACCATTTTCAAGATGTATACTTAAATGTACTACAGCTGGATCTCGTTCGTGTATTTGAAAACCAAAAATTCGCCATATGGCTTCGTTACTGCTGATATATCTGCCCATTTGGTAGCGTGTTATTTCATCATTTTCGTTTGTATTTTGAAATGCAAATACTGTGATATGGACTACCTTTATGAACATATTTGCAAATGTATTTAATTGATTTTACGGAGCTACAAAATTCTATATTGATGTGCGCTTTATATATCTTGGATAACAATGGCGAATATAGCACTACCCATCTATTGTCTACTTCAACTTCATATTCAATATTTCTCAACTTTAGTGAAAAGGATTGGCCTCCATTTTCCGAATTTCTTCAACGATGTATAGGATAGCCATCAATTCCAGTTATCGTATCTCTAACAAAATCTTTTCGAAATCCTTTTGTGCATTTACCATTCTCCATGCAAGGTGACGTCATATTTAAATTTCCGCATGGACCATGTATCATATTTTTTGTCATAATTTCAAATAGCTGTTTGTCAACATTTGGATCTGGAATTTCTGCAGAAACTATTTTATCAATTTCTTCATGTCTGATTTTTTCAACACACCAAATTAAAATATGAGCATGTGGCAAACCTCTTTTTTGCCACTCAATAGAATACATCCTCAACGTGTTTCTCCAAATACAGAGTGTTTTACAATTAAATCAATCAAAGATTTTAATTTTTGTTTAAACACCCGTGCGGTAATATCGGGACGATGAATCGGCGTTTGTCCAGGTAATAACAATTTTTTTATTTCATCCCATTGCGGATTACATGTATATGTTATAAATAAATCTGGTCGACCATATGCACGCATGTACGTCATTGCATCTCGGATGTATTATTGTATATGACGTGGGCTACCAGTACATGAAGATGGAAGTATGAACACATTACCAATATTACTAAGGTTCAAATTCCCATCTATATTATTATTAACAGCATTGCGTAGATGTATATACTCTTCTGCACGCAATTTTGTTTGGTTGAATCGAATGTACCGCAATTGTTCGCTTTCAATTTTCGCTTACATATCGACTACGTATTGATAAAATAATTGACGGCACTTTAAAATGTAATTATCGTCATGGTTTCGGATCATCAAACGATATGAGTTATAGTTCATTGCGCTAACATTTTTGTTTGTTTCTTCACCTGAAAATAATTTATTAAATAGTTACTAAACGGAATCCATTCCGTTTTATAATTTTGGGATGTGCTGAATAATATATTACTGGATCAAATTCAAATGCAAGACGATTGAACGATGACCTTGTCAATGCACGTTATTTTTGAATGCGCTCTCGATTTTGTTCCGTTCGTCTATGTCGTGATATATCTCCGTTTAACCGTTGGTTTCTTTGGTTCTAAGTTCCATTTAAACGCAACTGCACCATTCATTCCCTATCAGTGTCATTGTTTCTCAAATGTTCCTCAGAACTTCTGGTTTCTCGTCTTAATCGCCTAGTTTGATTTCTCTGTGTGTATTTAAAAAGATTTGTCTTTGCATTTTTTCTTTAAGCAAAGCTACAATTAATAAGAAAAATAATTTTTTCCTCTATTCTAATTATTAAGCAAATGTATATATATACAGTTTAATTTTTCAAATATATTGAAATCTTTAAGTTAATGTAATAAATTTGTTTTATCTGAAAAAACAACATAAACAGTATTGGTGGTATATTAAAAATATTATATACTAAAACTACGCATCATCATGTGTCCGTCATGTGTCCATCATCATTTACAACTGTTCGCAAGCAGTTAAATTTGTAAATCCACAATTCAAAAAATATTTTGGTTTTAAAGAAAATATTTTTTGACTTTGTTAAAGTAAAAAATGTAAACAAATTATGAAGTCACACAATTTAAGATTTTATAACTTATCTGCGCAATGCCTAACCTTAGTATTTAATGTTTTTGGCGGTATATAGAAGATTTAACAATTGCATACTTACAATTACTGTCGATTAATTGCACTTCATTCAATAATTTTTAATTTTCACAATGTTTATGATATTTTATGTTTATCGCTTTAACGAATAGCTATTAAATAAAACGTCTAATAAATACCGCATATTTTCACTTTCAGATGCAGATCAGTCAATTTTTATAAATGTTTTTCGTATACTTTTTGTTTAAATTTATGAATAATTTTTTGCACTCTCGCAACTTACATGTATTCTCAAGAATGTTAAAATTAGGGTTTGAATTGCTGTGACTATTTTCAAGCAATTATTTTTGACTACGAAAATAAAATAAGCAAAAAGCAAATGCCACAGCAAAACGTACACAATACAAATGTGTGTACACACTAAAGTGCTGCATCAAAACATTCGTTTTTGCGGTCATTCGTTTTATTTTCAAATGTGTACTAGAGTACTGCACGCGCGCATTTGATTTCAGTTTCAAAGCATTCTATTGTGTTTAGAATGGTAGCATACTCTCACTCTCAACGAACAAATACAAATGTATAGGCATAAAAACAAAATGGAATGGAATAAATATTTGTTTCGTTTGTTTAGAGTACTCTAATTCTAAACATTCTAAAAGTAGTTGAAGTAGTTGGGAGTACTCTAAGCATTTGATTTTCAGTTCATACAAAAATTATGTGTTTTTAAATAGTAAGACACAAATTTATTTATTTAAGTTTTTTTATTAATTAAATATTATTTAATATGTTGATAATAGTAATTTGTTGATTACATATATAATATGACTTAATATATTAATTAAATATAAAAAAAATTTTGAACAAAAATTTATTTAAAAAAATTATAATAAGTTTTTTTACAGTTTTTACAGTTCACAAATTTAATTGAATATGCAAATTAAATGTTGAGCATCGTCTGACTTAATTCCTCTTTTTCAAGATTGTTGTGTAAAACATGATTTGATTGATAGATCTTTGATTAGATGAAATCAATGTTCTTTTTTCTGTTATTAAGTTCCGAGCAACTGAAAAAACCCTTTCCGAAGATGCACTACTTGCTGGTGTTGCAAATAATTTACAAGAAACTTTGTAAAGTAGGAATTCTGAAGGAATTCTTAAGAAATTTCTAAAAATCTCTCTTGTCAGAAATAGATATTTTTACCATATCATGTATATAATTATTTTCCAGGAAAAGGTAAATATGTGAAGCAATTTATTTTGTTACATCATAAAAAACTATCGACAAAGAAGGAAATTCTGCGCAAACCGTTTTTTTAAGTTAACCTTTTGCATTAGATCTACCTGTTTAAACAACTTTTGCATTGAAAATAATAGAAAATTAAACCTAATTTACGTACTTTGTTGTTGCAATTATTGCAAATCTCTACGCACATCCAACTTTCTTTACTTTTGCGCAGGCAACCAAACGCAACCAAACGCACACAAAATATATAAAATATTTCTTTGCAAAAATAGAATTATTTGAAATACTCTAAAAGTGATTGAAATACTCTAAAAGTGATTGAAATACTCTAAAATATTTGTTTATTTGATTTTAAAATTCAAAACAAACGATTATAGAGAACAAATCAACACCCATTCCATTGAAACGAATGCGGCGGAAACGAATTCTATCGGACCGTTTCTGTTATTCGTTCGTATTCGCTTTAGAAATAATTTGTAAATATGGTACACATTAAAGTGCTGCATCAAAACATTCGTTTTTGCGGTCATTCGTTTTATTTTCAAATGTGTACCATATTTACAAATTATTTCTAAAGCGAATACGAACGAATAACAGAAACGGTCCGATAGAATTCGTTTCCGCCGCATTCGTTTCAATGGAATGGGGGTTGATTTGTTCTCTATAATCGTTTGTTTTGAATTTTAAAATCAAATAAACAAATATTTTAGAGTATTTCAATCACTTTTAGAGTATTTCAAATAATTCTATTTTTGCAAAGAAATATTTTATATATTTTGTGTGCGTTTGGTTGCCTGCGCAAAAGTAAAGAAAGTTGGATGTGCTTAGAGATTTGCAATAATTGCAACAACAAAGTACGTAAATTAGGTTTAATTTTCTATTATTTTCAATGCAAAAGTTGTTTAAACAGGTAGATCTAATGCAAAAGGTTAACTTAAAAAAACGGTTTGCGCAGAATTTCCTTCTTTGTCGATAGTTTTTTATGATGTAACAAAATAAATTGCTTCACATATTTACCTTTTCCTGGAAAATAATTTTATGCATGATATGGTTAAAATATCTATTTATGACAAGAGAGATTTTTAGAAATTGCTTAAGAATTCCTTCAGAATTCCAACTTTACAAAGTTTCTTGTAAATTATTTGCAACACCAGCAAGTAGAGCATCTTCGGAAAGGGTTTTTTCAGTTGCTCGGAACTTAATATCAGAAAAAAGAACATTGATTTCATCTAATCAAAGATCTATCAATCAAATCATGTTTTATACAACAATCTTGAAAAAGAGAAATTAAGTCAGACGATGCTCAACATTTAATTTGAATATTAAATTAAATTTGTGAACTGTAAAAACTGTAAAAAAACTTATTATAATTTTTTTAAATAAATTTTTGTTCAAAATTTTTTTTATATTTAATTAATATATGAATAAAGTATTCGTGTTGCTGTAAAGCTAGACTTCCTTTGTATAGTGACAAAGAAGCTTTATTAAAATTTAGAGGGGTTTTGAATAGCAAAGAAAGAAATAAAGGACAAACACAAAAATTTATTTTAATTTTATTGAAGTTTGGCTGACCATACAACGCTGTTTCGAGTATTGCTAAGTACTCTTCATCAGTGGTCTTTCGAAATAATCGAATTTTGTTTAATTAGTTTATAGTCCGTATATAATTTGTTTTGACTGCAAGTGCCAGGCTTAGAACTCATGCCTGTCAAATTAAAAGCGATGACTAATCGTGTTTATCCACAAGAAGCCAAGGCTGCACAAACTTTCAATGCTCAAGTTCCAGGTTTTATTGTCACTTATTTTTATTTAATTAGTGACACCAACCAAAGCACTTGCCAAAGTGCTTTACAGCAACACGAATACTTTATTCAAATATTAGACTTGTGAAAAGTAAAGAACAATATGTTAAAATATAATATTGTTCAGCTTTTCCTAACCGCGAAAGCGGATTTGTAGAATAACATAGCATAGCTTCTTTGTAAAAGCACCAGAATGGTCGCTTTACATA